AATTTCAAAATTCATGTAGTGGATAAGCACAGATCTTAAAATTCAAACTTGTATATTGATGATAAATAAGGTGATAAGTATACATCATACTAAATGGTAGTGAGTAAAAATGCACTTTTTTAGTTAATTAGTGGTTATTATCTCTAGGTACGCATTTGATAGCTGGCATTGTTGTGGGATTGTTGCCCAAAAGCTACAAAATTTGATGCACATACCAATCTTAGGGATTGGTAGAAAAAATCCAAGTTCAGTTCATTGTATCGAAGTCTCGATCGACCAATTGGAAGCGCTAAGAATCTAAAAAGTGATTCTTTCAGTTCCTTTTATTGCTCTTCATGGATTAATTAGGATTAATGTATTGAAACATTTTGGATTTTCTATACAACATATTGCAAGGCCCAAGATTCATAAATTTTTGCAACCGATGGTATAACATAAATGAAATTTTATACTCGTACAAAGGTGGTGTACTTATGTTTACAATCCTAATAACTAAGAGTAATATTTTACGAGGCAACATTATATGTTATATTAACATTTTTGTACAAGATGGAGCTCGCTGTTTTTTTTTTTTTTTTTTCTTATTGGTGTATTTTCCTATACTATCCTGGAAGTTAACTTTACATTTATAACTTTTGCTCTAAAGTTAGTGCTTTCATGTTGAACGCTAACCCTAGGAATGCATTGTCCCGTCATGTGCATGGTTTCCTAAGTTCAATTAGGTAAAATGCTCGATTATTGGAACTGTCTAAATCTTCAAGGATTTGTTTTTTTTTTTTTTTTTTTTTTTGTCAAAGGGTAATATTTATTACTAACAACAGGCTTTATAAACACAATGGTCCAGAACAAAGTATACACAAAATGGTCCACAAACTTTAGTGTTTATTTCTTAAGGACCCCTCGATGTTTGTGGCCTGAGGCTCTTAGAGCACTTTCAATGTAGGAAGGTATTTCATGGTAATTGGCAATTGAATCCTCTTTATTGAATAGTAATTATTTTTAATGAACAGTAATTATCTTTTGTATTTCCGTACCTAAACTAAATAGTCATGGCAATAAACAATAAAATATTAGTATTTTTATGTTCTAAAATAATAAAAAAAATATTTTTATTTTTAATTTTGGATAGGATTTTTAATCGATCTTGTCACGTCCATGTGTCATTATCCGAAAGTACAATTTTTATGGATAGATTTTGATAAGATTTTTAACCAATTCTGTCGCGCTACATGTCCTTCCATGTTTGGAATTGTTGAAAATATTGAAATGCGGTTTAAGGTGAGAGAAAATGGTATAGAAATTTTTTGGATTTTTATTTATTTTTTTAAATTTTTTTATTAAATTAATTAAGCTGAACTGTTGGATTACAAAAAAAAATTGAAATCCAACAGTCAAGATTGTGACACGTGTCCCCCCTGAAACATTTTTGTTTTTTCTTAATTTTTAAAATTTGAAAAATCTGTACCGTTGATCTTGAAATCAAACGGTCTAGATTCACCTGCCACTTAGTGGGCTGTAACGCAAGCCCCACCGTTTGAAATCTTGTTAGTAACGCGCGCCCCGCGTGCGTGTGTTATGCACACGCCTGATGCAAAAAAATTTATAACGTGGCTGACATTATGCTGACGTCAGCCTTGCATCACAACCCCTCAGACACTCAGGCCTTGGACTCCTGCCTGCCCACTCCCACAGACTCCCCTTAGCCCAATTACCCGAATAGGCTGGAGCTAGTTTGTGAGGGAATTGGATTGCAAATGGGGCCTGTCCACAGGACAAAAGAGCACGGTGGAAGTGCCCTTAGCAACAACTTGAGGTTTAATTTTAACAATTTGTATTTTCAGTTCACATGAGTAAAGAAAAGGCTAACTTTCAAATATATCACAGCGACCTCTTCTAATATTGAAAAACAACAACTAGCTAGTCCGTGTGATTGATTAAATTTATTTGATTTAAATTCAAAGATCTCTTAACATGCACCTCTCAAACTGCAGCAATCACAACTCAAGGACCTGTCCACTTCTGCATTAAACCACTTTATCGAATCAAGCACAAAGTGACATATTATACACTGTTCCAAATCGAACTACATGATTTTATTGGAGAGAGCTCAATGAGGGCCAGGAAGAAGTGGAAGCTATGGACATGCATGGTCACTAGTTTTTTAGTGCAACAGTAAAGCACACCAAACAAAGCTTTAATTAAGCATACGAAACCATTATAGATGGGAGAGGTTGCAGAATTTGTAGTTGATATGTTAAGCCCTCCACCATTACCATGATGATCTTTTATAATTGGAATGTTGCTACCCTTAGGCTCTAGGCTTTCTTGTCGCCTTCCCCTGCGTGGATTAGGCTTTGTTTTGGGGGGGTTTTCCCTTTTGTTTGTGGTTGCTTTGAGAGTTCTTCTCTGCCTGTTTGTTTCTTTGGTTGTTCTCTGTTCTTTGCCCAGTTAATATTATTCTTTACTTAGCCAAAAACAAGAGATATAAACCCAAAACCCAAAAAAACAAAAGTTGAAAGCAAGATATAAAGTCTAAGTGCAACAGGCCAATAAATAAGCCAACGTCAAGGCTTTAAAGGAGTTATTAAGGGACTACCTTAGAGAAAGTGGTAATGGAAGCTCAAAGGAGAATTAAGATACACCATATGACCAACTGACCAAATCAATATGTCTTCTTTAGCTTATTTTCTTTTATCGGGGCCATAAGTGCCATCGCTTTGAGAAATAATTGTTGAGTTGTGTTACGATTAGGTTTACAATTTTCTACTATTGTTTCATGTGTATTTATACACATCACATTTTTTACGTAAGTGGCATACCTTAGCAAAATCCATAATTGTTATAGAACAAAAATTAGTTTGGAATGGCTTATCTCATTGTTTCTACCATTGTCCTATTTAGAATTATCCTTATGTTTTTAACATAAATCCTACCTTGATCCTGTATTAAAAAATGATAATAAAAACCTATCGTTGCACCTCAAAAAAACATTAACCCTAAACTCCAGCTCATCCTAAATCCTGAAATAACATTATATTGAACATCAAAAAGATCAGCACATTGTCGTATTTCCAAAATGACGTGACTAAATAAGCTGCTGTCCTTTTCCTTCTTATTAGAAAAGCTGCTCGATCTTTTAGGCATTCACCTTGAGATTTTTTTCTCACCAGTGTTTAGATACTGCAGATTTTGTCAGCAAATTAAATCGTTATAAAAATTTGATTCCTATTGACTCTGCAGCAGGTGAGATATCTACTGATCTCATCCCGTGCAAGTGAAATAGTATATTTGCACCGTATTTCGTCATGCATGCATGCAGAGATTTAATTGAGTTTAAATCGAAGCACGTCACTGCAACTACCAGTTTAAAGATATGTTGTAAGCCATGGTTCATGTTTCCGGACAGCACATATACGATTTACATATTGACTGTTGAGCATAAAATTAAGTAGCAGGGATGCAAACTGACTTGCAATAATATGGTGGCTCTTCAAGGATTGGGAGCAAATGCTATGAAATTAAAATTTAAAAAAAAAAAAAAAAAAAAAAACACACTTGGAAATGGGCAGATGAACAATTTGTCAATTTCCAATTTTTTTAAGACTTCTTTTTTTCAGAAACATTAATTATTAATTTGTTACTAATTCATTTGTATCTACTTATGGTAAGGGTGAATTTTGCTATAATCCCCATTTTCGGCCTTAGATATTTTTTTCAACATATGATAAGTTTAGTTTTTTGGGCAACCGTCAAACATCTGTAGAGTATGTTACAAAATACACCATTTCTCTTGTACTTTGCTCTTGTTTGGGCCTGATTTTAATAATTAATATTATCACATACATAAAATATAAGGTTCAAATCGCTATATAACATTGCAGGTCGAAAAGGAGATCTGACAATGTAGAATGAGAATATTTAAATAAGAAGATTGTTAGCATCTCTCGATAATTTTTAGTTCTATCCTTTGTTAAATGTTTCTTCTGTTTTTAACACACATGGACTTTTTATGTTTCTTAATTGTAACCAATAGAGCCCAAGGTTTGTTCCATAACTCCAGCCCAACTTTTGAGTTGGGGATTGGTAAGCAAAGGGTCGGCCTCAACCAACCCCTCTTGTTTTTTCGGATCACCTGCCCTCTATATACTAAACATGCTGTGGTTGTGGATACCAATTTTAGGTCTAAGGGTTAAAGAATCCAGTTTCATTGAAATTTCAGCAGGTAATGATTAGGTCTCCGATATGATTCTTTGATTTCTTCGATGGTAACTGCCTAACTGGGTAGAAAATCTTTATAGAAGGAGTGCATTCACGACAGAAAGTAATGAAACGAATTTCTTAAAATGAAATATTTGAACGATACTCATCATCTAGTTAAGGTGGAGAGTAAAGTAGTACGGATAGTTAAACGGATCAAACCTCAGAATATTTTCCTTGGTTGTTAAGTTCAAATTACTCGGAGAAGCACTTTTGGATACTTATACAACAACCTTTTCATGATATAGATAATTTATCTTATCCTCTTCTATGTAGTTATAATTTTGTCATTTAAAGGATTTTTGGTCGTAGTGTAGATATATAACCGAAAAAACTAAAAAGAAAGAGAAGTTCTAAGTTCTACATTGTTGTTTCCCTTACAAACCAAGAGAACCGATGCCTCAACTGCACGACGGATAGACGTAAGCAGCATTGCAAAGTTAGTGGAAAATGTCATCCGCAAACGAAAACAACACATACCAAGTACCAACTCTGTCTTAGCTCCAAATTTCAGAAAACCACCCAAAAGCACATACAGTGCAACAAAATCAGTGACCCATATTTAATCACCATGCACCGCATCATACCTTTCACTCCCACTAACACTAATGCTTTAAGAAAAAGATGGGTTATGTCTTTCGACAAATCATAGTTTGACACGATTATATAAACATGTTTTTTATGGTTTTAGCACGTTATATTTTTATGTGTCAAACTGTGATTTGCATGTAAAGAAGAATGACTTGTGTAAAGAAAAAATTATAATATGATATGTCCACGTATTATACATGGGTTGACAACGTAATTGACCTTACTCATTTTTAGGGTACAAGATCAACCACTTCGTCCATAACACGTGGTCTAGTTATACATAGTGGTGTTCTTAAGAAAATATACATAACTTGACATCCATGCCAAGTTTCTGCCTTCATCTCCATGTATTTTAACTTTCATGGTTCTCAATCCAACACTTTATTTGATGGCCTATAACCCTATAAATCCAAAATATATATGTTTCTAAAACAAGATACAAAAATGGCACCCACAACACTCTTTCTTATTCTTCTCCTAGTGCACATTTCCAATTCCAACACAGGCGATGCCACAAAACCTGCACCAAAATTCCCATCAGTTCTAGTGTTTGGCGATTCAACAGTCGACACTGGCAACAACAATTACCTCAAAACATTGTTCAAGGGCAACCATTACCCTTATGGCAAAGATTTCCCTGGCCAAATCCCCACAGGCAGATTCTCTAATGGAAAACTAGTGCCTGACTTTTTGGCCTCCATTTTAAACATCAAGCAAACAGTTCCTCCTTTTCTCGACCCGAGCCTTTCGGATAACGACCTCATCACTGGCGTCTGCTTCGCGTCGGGTGGATCCGGATACGATGATATAACCGCTGCTGGCGCCGGAATCCTAGCGTTTTCGAAGCAGATTGAGTTGTTCAAGGAATATGTAGCGAGAGTTAAGAGGACTTTAGGGGATAAGGAGGCAAAGAAGTTGATTAGTAGTTCATTGGTTGTAGTAAGTGCAGGTACTAATGACTTTGGTTTTAATTTCTATGACATTCCCACAAGAAGGTTAGAGTTCAACATTAGTGGATACCAAGATTTTCTGCTGAATAAGCTGCAGATATTTATTGAGGTAAATTCCCATCCCTTTCGCATGCATATTTTCACCTGGGATATTTTTTTTTCTTTTGAAAGGGCTAGCCTGATGCAACGGAAATGTTACTCTTTTGTGATTGAAATGGCATGAGTTCAAGTCGTGGAAACAACATTTTTGCAAAGTAAGGGTAAGGTTATGTACGATTAACATTTCTCTTCCCGACAACTCTCACCAAGCGAGAAGTCTTGTTGTCTTGGGCCGCACTTTTTCAAAACTTGAATTTGGATCTTTCAGAAAAATCTTAAACATGTGAAGCATGGTTACAAGAACCATTCTGTAACATCAGTTTTCCCTTCACACAGTGAAAAGATTCTAATATTTATTATATAAGATCACCGCCTTGCAGAAGATTCGCTTAGCCATTCTTTTTAACAAATCATAATCTGAAATCATAATCTGCCATATGTATGCATAAATAATTAATCAAAATCACAAAATTAAATGTTTATATACATATGTCAAACTGCGATTTGTATGTAAGATGAATAGCTCCTTCCACATCAAGACCCGAGTATTTTTCGTATTATATTGAACAGGTAGTACTTTGATGTGTTTTTATATCTGTATATATGTAGGAACTGTATAAGCTTGGATGCAGAAAACTGGCAATAGCAGGGCTTCCTCCAGTTGGTTGCCTTCCCATACAAGTTACTGTAAAATTTGGGAAACCAAATGATGGACGATGTGTGGATGATGAGAATTCAGATTCCCAAATATACAATCAAAAGCTTGTAAAACTATTGCCCAAAATTCAGTCACTGTTGCCAGGGAGCAGAATTGTTTACGTAGATGTCTATGAGCCGTTGATTGACATGATCAACAATCCACATAAATTTGGTAAGAAACATTTATATTAAATTATTTATCCAAGGGGTGGATTTGTAGTACAATATTTTACATATGTTTTTGTGGGATCCACTTCAATGTATTTTATGATCCGAACTGTCTATTTTTTTAGAACATCATTCATAGTCATAGATCATTTTCTTGCAAAAAATAAGACAAATCCAAAATCATTAAGGCATTCATTTGTAGTGAAGAAAATAGACAAATACAATTCTGCAAAGACATCCTAAACTCATAATCCAATGATCATATAGTATCAAAATTTGGTGATTTTTGGTAGACATAATTTTTTAGAAAAGACCTAAAATATAGACAGTTCAGATCATTAAAATACAATTCAAGATAGACCTCACAAAAACGTTTGTCAAAAATTATGTAAAAAAGTGATGCTATGGATCCGTCCCATTTATCTAAATTACACTGATATTGCAGACGTGCGTTAGTCTCGCAACTTTGCACCCCGAGTATTTTCTCTACCTCCTAGCCAATGTGACTACGATTAAGTCGGCAGAGCACATCAATACTAAATTTCGTATTTCTTTCTCATGAAGGTTTCGTGGAAACGAAAAGAGGTTGCTGCGGTACTGGGTCTGTGGAAGCAGGGCCTTTGTGCAATGCACTGACTCCGGTATGTGCCGATGACACGGAGTACTTGTTTTGGGATAGCATACATCCAAGCGAAGCAACTTACCAGTACCTCTCGAAGTACCTAGAGAAGAATGTGCTTCCCAAGTTTGCTTATCGTAATCAATCGCGGCGGTCGATTACTCGGTCCGGCCATCCCCATCGGGCAGATGATCGATACTGATAAAGCAGTTCCAGTTCCATACATTGTAGAGTCTTTTACTTTATCTGTATGTATAACGAAGTCCCGTTCGGGGAGCTTTTCAGACACGAAAAACTGGTTTCCGATCGACATCTTGGCTTCGACGTCTAGATATCACAGAGAGAAATAAAACTGTACTTAAACACAACCAAACATCTAGATTACAAAGCTTTCAATTCATAAACAAAACTTTCTGTAAACTTGTTTTCGACTACAAACAAGGCGAATTGTCCCTACCAGCTTTAGCTGCTTCACTTCCGGCCACTGCCACCGCCGGCGGATCCTCTACTGCCGCGGAATAGGTCATTGATCTTAGCTTCAATGCCCTCACTAGCATACTTAATGTACTTATCATGCCTTCCGATTTCTGGAACACTCTGAAACCTACCGATGAAGCTCTGATACGCTGGCAACACGATTTTGACAAGCGAAATTCTCAATTCGTCTCTGCACTGATCGTCGAAAACTACCCAATTGGACTGCGTTTTACAGATCTCATCGAAGTAGATGTTGAACAACTTGAGCTTCTCCTTCATGGACTTGACAGCAGCACTTGGCGCCAATGAGCCGCTATCGAGCTTCAACACTCCAAGCACCTTGTTCCATGAGCTTCTCTGGTAATTCACATGGTGCTGCCGGACTTTTGCAGTGTGTTTTCGGATCCAATCATCGCCCAATAGCAATCCCAACTCGCTGTCTTTCGCTTTCTGCACGATGTACCTCCCATTGTTCATCATGAAAACACAGCACAACGCAGAGTCCCTGTAAATCTTCGACTTGGCTTCCAAATTGCTCTCCAGAAGCTCCATAATCCATGCCATTTGTACCGACATGGACGAGCTTTGGTCATCAACCTTGGGTTGATGAGAGACCGCAGAACTGTCCTCGAAAACCTGCTCAAGGGTCTGGCGCGATCGGCAAGCTGCCCGAAGATAATTCATCACATATCGAGTGATTGGATGCAATCCGCCGCCAGGAACTGGAGTTTTCGCAGGGTCAAGACTGATCAGATTCTCCAACTCCATGAAAATGCCTCTGATCGCTTCGCCTAACCTTTTCCAAATCGTAATCGCTTCGTTCCGGAGAAACAAGCAGTACTGATCGGAGAACACTGACTCGAATTCGGGCATCAAATCCCGCAAAGTCTCGAACACGTCGAGAATCTTGAACAATCGCTCCGGCGATCGGCTTCCGATCGCCACCGCGTCGGCAAAATTCAGTATCTGAATAGTCGAGCCTCGGCAAACCTCCATGAACGAGAGGTCCGCGGCGGAGGAGAGGCCGTAGAAGATGCGATCGCAGAGTCGACGCTCGCTCGGAAAGAGAATCCGAAGTGCGACGTTTGCTGATTTGATCCACCGCTCGATTTCGTCCTCCAGGTCCTGCCATGGCGTCTTCTGAACCTCTTCGATGCTCAGCTTCTGCAACCCTAGCCTCGACAAGCTTTCTTCCAGGAACTCTCTCCGGCAGCTGGAGTACACGTGCGAGCACTCCTTTCCGAAACCCGCCGCCACCATCCGCTTCGCGATCTCATGGAGGTCGTTGATGGTTCCAGAAGGAAGCGCGTCGATCACGATGTCGTAGTCGCCGATCGGCTGCGCAACAGGGATCTGGTGTTCCTCACCGTCCCCGATCACCTCATCTTCTTCTTCTTCTTCTTCATCATCATCTCCCGAGTCAAACGACAACGCGCCATTCGACTCACCGCGAAACGCCCGAGTCAGTTCTCGGGACTCGGCGCCGCGTTCGACCAAGGATCTGAACTCGTCCTCAAGCCGGAACATAGCCTGCTGCATAAGATCCTCGGCGCCCGCCAGGCAGACGCCGACGGACTTGTCGTCGGCCATCGGAGTCCAGTCTCTGATGGTGACGATGAGCTCGTCGATCGAGTCAAGAAACGCCGCGGAATCGGCGGAGTCAGACCAGATTGAGTGGTCAGTAGCCACATACTGCAAGATCTGACGGTTCAGCGACTTCAGCGAAAGCTCGAGAGCAGCACAGCTCCGAGTTCGTTCGTCGTCGGAAGCCAATTTCTCACGAGAGAACCTGCCGTCGAAGTTGGAAAAAATCTGCAAAATATCGTCGGCCATATTATCGTTGTGGCCCAGAGTCTTGGCTATGTGGCGCGCCATAGCTAACAATTTCTCTTCGCCGTTCTCAGCCATTGTACTGCAGTATCAGAGAGTGCCCTCCAAGTGTTTGATTCGATGCCTCAGTGAAGATAAACTTTTAGGGTTGTGAAATTGAGAGGAAAATTGGTTTTAATTTTTGGGATTTCGGGATTTCAGAATATCAGAATTTCAGAATTGCGCTTTGGGTATTAACCAATAAGCAATAAGCCAAAAGCCAGAAGTTAAAAGCACTGAGGGTGGGCAGAAGAAGTTGAATAGCATTATTTAGGGGTTCTTCGCGGAAGGTGATTGGAAACACGCGGTTTGTGGTGGGGAATGGATGAAGATTGAAGAGGGAAAGAGCGAGGCAGGTTTTCGTCTGGACATTTTTGAATTATTTTGCTTTTTCTAAATTTCGGGACTACTAGTTTTTCTATATTTTTCATTTCAACCGGAACGGTATTCTAAATTATTCTAATTTTATGTACCAGAAGTTGAGCTTCATCTCATCAGAATTATTCTAATTTTGAATAGTTGGATTGCGGTTCAAGCTTAAACGCAGAAAAAACGACTGTGATCAACTAACCTAACTCGCCAAATGACTTTTTACTGCTTATGCATGGTTGGATTCTGGTCTGAGCTTAAACGCAGAAAAAATTAATGATCAACTAAGAGCATCCCCAGCGTGGGGTTTTGCTCGGGGGAAGGGGTCCAAAAGAAGGGCCCGAGGGCCGGTGGCTTAGCTCCAGCGTGTGGGAGCCGGATGGAAGGGGGAGGCCCGAGGGCCAGGCCCGTGAGGGATTGCCAGGCCTTGAGCCCGAGGTGGGGATGACGCAATGCTGACGCCAGGGTGGCGTCAGCGCATTATTTAATTTTTTTTGTGTCAGGCGCGTGCACCCCACCCGCGCGTGGGGGCGCGTCGCTGACACAAAAAAAAAAATTAAAAAAATAAAGTGTCAGTTACCGTTGGGAAGCCACGTGGCTTCCCACGGTGCGTTAGATCTTAACGGTCACTTAATGTGAACCGTTAGATCTCAACGGTAAAAAAAAAAAAAAAGTCATATTTAATATCCACCGTTCGATCTGAGATCAACGGTGGATATTAAAATGCTTTATAAATTAAAAAATAAATGAAAAAATAGTTTTAAAAATCTGAAAAGTTACTGTTGTGACACGTGGCACAATCTGGAGTGTTGGAATTCAAATTTTTTTATATCCAACGGCAGAGATTAATTAATTGAATAAAAATTTAAAAAAAAATTGTAAAAAATTCAAAAAAATTCAAAAAAAAAATCTGAAAAAAATTGTAAAATTTTTTTTTTTACTTCGGATAATGACACGTGGCGCAACGAGAACGATTAAAAATCTTTTCCGATATTACAATTAAAATTATTTTGTATTAATTTTACAAATAAAAAAAAATACTAATATTTTATTGCCTATTGCCAGGGCTATTGAAGTGTAACGGTGGAGATGCAAATTCTATTGCCAGGGCTACTTACTGTTCATTAAGGGCAATTACTGTTCATTAGGTGGATTGAATAGTGTATTGCCAGGGGGGAGGGCTCCAACGCTGGAGTTGCTCTAACGTAACTCACAAAATGATTTTTTTTCCGTTTATGCATGTGTTGTGAGTGACCCCACTAATTTTAAATTAGGTATAATAGATTGGATAAGAGGTGGGAATTAATAAAGGGAGAGAAGGTTGAATGGGAGACAGATTCTTTACCCTTTTGTTTGGATGTTTTTTTCATCATCTTTTATTTGTGCGGTTATGATTAAGTCACGTTAACATTTTATATTTTTATTTTTTTTTTATCTTATTATCTTTATAAAAAATTAATATAAAATATTAACATGACTTAACCATGATAGTATAAAATATAAAGAAATAGAAATGACATCAAACAGGTTGAATGGATATTTTGAGGATTGGACTTTATTTGGATTTGAAAAAAAATAAATAAATAAAATCTCACAAAGGAGGTTTTGGCTTTGGTGGTCAAAAGCATAACAGATGACTGGTTATTCAAAGAAAAGACGTCGAGTCCCACATCAGAATCTGGAAAGAAAAAAAAATCATGGGGTTTGCTTTTACTGTGTGCTCTCCTTGCAGTCGGTTTGAAAGTGCTTTTGCGTTCAGAAGAGTCACGTTGACGGTTTTAAAAATAACAAAAACTAAAAGCACTTCCGAATGCTTTTTTAAGTGTTTATAATCCATGGCAAGAATGAAAATAGCCGTCTATTCTTTAAACTTTCTATTAATATTTTTTTTTAAGATTCTATTATTGCTATAGACGAATTTAAACTACATTAATGTACTAATTATATGTTTAATTGATGACTGCTTAATCAATTTAGTATTTTTTTAGTCATGTAGTTTCTACCTTATAAAGTTTTTGAAAGTTTTCACTAGTATCGACATTTTCATAAATGTGCATCGATATTTTCATAAAAAATATATATATTTAAACTGTTGATTCAAAATCACGTGTAAAGTTTTGAAATAAAATTGTTATCATCACTCTAAAAGCACTTCAAACAAAGACACATAAGAAACTTCTAATTATGGCAAATAATGCATTGAGTAAACATAGAAATACATTGAAAAAACTAAGAATGGTCACAAGTTGGTTTGGTATTGCTGTGTTTTGAAAAGAAAAAAAAAACTACTGCTATGCTGTGAGAATAAACTTATTTTTGTTGCTTCACGTTTTCAGCTTTTTTTTCACCAAAAACTGTGAAAATAAGCTATTTTTAAGTGTTTACCAAACACCTTTTTTAGCTCAACTTTTTTTTTATAACCACTTTTTATAAAAGCACCTCAGTACTAAACCAGTACTATACTACTGCCCGAATAACATTTCCTTTAGATGTTTGAGAACAAATAGTGTACCTGTAAAACCCCACCCCCAAATTAATTTGTATTTTCACTTTGTCCTTGAAACTTTATAAAAATGTGCAATTAGATCCCTTATCCTAATCTAATTTGGACCTCCATCTGGATTTCCTCTCTCCCTCATGTTGCCACATGGCAGCCCACTAACCTTCACCCTATAGCTTTCCTTCCTCGAGATCTCTCTCGCAGCACTCACTATCTTCCCTATCTCAAATCTCACTAATCTCTCTTGCTCTCACCCTCCCCGAGCTACCCATACACACTTTCACTCACCACACCCAAACCCAGTCACCACCGCCACCTTTGTGGACATCCTTCCCATCTCCCTCGTCATTGTGCAGCACCAAAGGAACTGGTGCAAAGGTTCAAAAACCCCGGTGAACTCTTGTGAGTCTCGAGGCAAAATCCGGCCACTTCCCGACCATCACTCGTCATGAAACAGGTACCAACTCCTTCCTCTCACCTCTAACTTCATTTTGGCACCTAGATCGAAGTCTAAGGTGACGTTTTGATGATGACCGGAGCTGGGAAAGCTCCGACGTCCTTTTTTCCGTCGAACCCAGACCTTTTAGGCGTGTGTAGAACACGGGCCTTAGGCCCATTTAAAACCCAACCCAAATCCTTTTTATTTATTTATTTTAGTTTTATTTTATTTTTCTAAACCCAAAACCTTTTCGTTGGGCCAAGCCTTCAGCCCAAGACCAAATGGGTTTCAGCCCGTGAGCTTTAAAACCCCAAACCCTAAGTGAGGCCGGCCCTTGGCCCAATCCTTAGGCCGGGCCTTAAGCTCAATACCCTAAACCTAAAGCTAAACCTTAAGCCCAACCTGGCTAAACCACTAGGCCCAAACCCATAGGGCCCTAACCAGCCCAACCCAAACCCTAGGACCCAACTCGGATCCAACCCTAAACTAGTCTGACCCGTTGACTTTGACTTTAACCGGTCAACGATCAACGTTGACTTTTTGGGTTTCGTCTGGAACCCCTCCTAAGCTAATTTCGACATCTTTAACCTATTTTTTACGTCCGTTTTCCCAAATTAAATTGTTGGAGCATGGTTTTGTTGATTACTCTTTATGTGCTTAGGTGCAATTATTAGCAGTGATTTCGTTATTCCTATTTCGTAAGGCTCTATGACAACTGAGTATCTGTGAGTAGACCCCTTCTAAAATGCATGTTTTATTAGTAGAAATGCATACATGAAAAACATGATTTACTAAATACGTTTTATGAGAAATTGATTATCATGTTATAATGAGCTTATTTTGGAATACCATATTTTCTATCATACCCATGTTTTGTGTAGGATATCTGATGGATGACGATATACTATTTAGAACATGTTTTTACACACTTCTTTATAGGATAGATGATGGATGACTTTATACTATGAAGATGTTTTTGAGATATATATACCTATGTTTGGAAAGACTATATTCAATGTTTTTGTGCGTACCTAATGGTCACTGTTTTGCTTGTTTGGCAATGATATTTATATTGGCTTCATGCGGGGTGTAGGTTGGGCATGTTTGGCAATGATACTTATATTGGCTTCGTGCTAGGCGTAGGTTGGGCCTGTTTGGCAGATGAAGAAGTGTTCTAAAAGGCCTGTTTAGCAAATGAAGGATTATGATTGAATAGATATTGATAATGATACCACTAGTTAGCACTATATACGAGATATGTTTTGTGAAGGTTTTATGGCATGCTAGGGTTTTCGGAAAACCTACTACATATTATGATATCTATGTTTTTATAAAACTTTGGGGGTTAGTATGTTGATAACTGTTTTTATTATATATATATATATATATATATATATATATCAATTTGGTTCACTCATGTTTGTTTTGCGCCCACTCAGCATATAGGAACGAGGACTACGATCTGACGTACGAGGCATTCCCATACCAGTGACATCGTGCTATCTTCTCTACTTTGACTACTCTTGTAATAGCATCTTCTGCTTGTAATTTGATTTAGAATATGCTTTGAACATGCCATGCATTATCATTTGAACTCATTGTTGGCAATTGAATATTATTTATGTCTACATTCTATTATCTTGCTACAATTTAGGTGCATGTTCTTAGCATTTGCATTCATAAATGACTTGCGTCACCTTTGGGTGTCGGCCAACACGTGGCCATCTCGATGTCCCGAGAACATTAGGATCAGGGTGTGTCAGTACCCCTTCTTGTACCTTTGAATTCAGAAAAAAAAATTAAAAAATAAAACTTATAAAAACATCACTGTGACAGTATCTTATTGCTTGGACGATGCAATACTTATGGTCAAAAGGCCTAATCTGTTGCGGCTTATGCATACAGTGTGCCACAATTGATATAGCTAGAAAATCAAACAACATGCCCAACCACATACAACCATCCAATATAATATTCACCAGTCGATCCCCAGATCAACGGTCTCGGATTCTTCACCCCCAAATCTTATAAAACCATCCCTTTTATCTCTGAAGAAAGAAAAGTCGTCACAGTCTTCTTTCAGTCATCTCTGTTCTCCCAATCTTACCCCTGAACTTCCAATTATTTACAACAATGTCTTCGCCTTCCCCGATCCAAGTCTCGACCCTAACAGTCCTCCCTCCAGCAATCCCAACATTCCGACACCAACTTACTCTCATTCCTCTGACCCTTCCTCATGCCCATCGTCGCCCTCTCCCGCCACACTCTCTCCAACAGCCGCCCCTGGACCGAGCTTATCGACCACACTGCCTTCACCAAGCTGACCTTGCTTACCGATGTCGCCTTCCGCATCTGCAAAAATGCCGCCTACTTCTGCGTCAACTACCTCATCGTACTCGTAGCCGTACTCGCCTACTCCCTCATCTCCAACCCCTTCTTTATTATCATCCTCGTCTCTCTCACCAGAGGATGGATCTTCCTCTACTCGCGCCGATCGTCAGAGGAACCGCTCATGATCCTCGGTTGCACTATCTTAGAAACCCAAGCAATGTTCGGGCTGGGCGTGGCGACGCTGATCATGATCTTAGTAACAAGTGTGATGTTGCTACTGCTAACGGCGGTCATGGTGAGGGTTGGGATCATTTGTGTTCACAGAGCATTTAGAGATCCCGATGATCTGCTTCTGGAGGAAACGTAACCGTTGGGTTCTGGAATCGCTTCGATTTTCGGTAGGGCCCCTTCGTTTGCAGAGGCAGGGTGCCAGCATAATGTCACGTGTCTAGCATGTGATAAGTGCAAATCCGAAGTCGTACATACTACTTAGCTAAAGATGAACCTTCCCCCTTGGGTCAGGTTACTTAGAAGAAGAAGGAGAAGTTTTGTTACAATCGTTCTAAAAATTCCCACGCCTAGCGTGCTTATGTTTAGACCTGCTTAAGCGTATGTCTAGTGCTTAAGTGCCCATTTAGTGTCCGTCTAAATTCGTTTAGGTATATGTTTAGGTCACGACTCTTATTTCTACAAAAAATCGATAACTTTCATTTTGCATTTTAATTTTTAATAAAATGTAAATACTTATTGAATGTCTGAATAAATACACATCAGTGCATATTCTGTTTTAATATTTTATAATTTATATTTCGTTTTATTTTACAATTTATGAAATGGATCTCCGTCAGGATTATTCATTCAGAGCCTAAATCATAAGAGAGATGGAGAAGAGAGAACTTTGGGTGAAGAGACAGAACCAGAAAAGAAGAAGAGAGGGCCACATGATAACACGTTAAAAACGAAAATAATATTACAATTGATTCCTAGCCACATGATGTAAGTGGATGGCCAGGATTAGACATTCAGAGGTTTCGCATAGTAAGATTCAGAGACGATTCTAGTCCCCAATATAATTATTTGTTTTTTTTTTTTAAGTATAAACGGACAATATATAATAATTTACTTAAATCCGTCTAGTTCGCCTAAACCCTGTCTAGGCGCTAGGCTTCCTGATTAGGTGCCTAGAAGCCTAGGTGCAATGCCTCAGTCTGCCTCCTGACTAGTGCTTAACGTCTTTTAGAATCTTAGTTACACTAGGAATATTATTCATTACTTTGAGATATTTGATCGACTTCTCAAAGTTTGCAATTTAATTGGTTATTTTGGTGGCAATTTGTATTTGAATTTTTGCTTTTAATTCCATGAGGCAAAAATCTAATTATTTATTTTGCATAACTAAAAGATATGTTAAGGAAACTCATGTACTTCATAGTTGAACGTTAACTTCTGTACTAACATTATAAAATATTGTACTCTACATAGAGGCCCACTTTCTAAAAAGTCCCTTCAGCATTTCTCTAACAATATTTCAACATTTGAAATAGATTTCACCAAAGAAAGCCAAGGGTCAACCATTTCGAGCATCGATTTAGGTTTAAAAACTTCGATAATAGGTTTTAAGTATCGTACTTTTTCGCAATAAGCATCAAACTCAACTTTTTTATAACTTAGAACCTACAAATAGAATCCAGATCGAAGAAAATTGAGTACAAGTGAGGTGTTTTTCGACACTAAAAGCAAGACGTCTTGCACTTAGCCGGATTGATACATGTAGTTTTATAGATGAACAAATAGATATATAGATAACAATCCAGTTTCTTCCAATCATCCAAAGGGGACATCCTTGATCACAGGTAGGGATGGGCAAATACCCATTGGTTACGGGTAACCGCGATTATCCGCCTTATGGGTAACTGTTTAGATAAATAAACGGTTATGGGTATAACTGTTTACTCATGAAATTTAAATGGGCGGTCATGGGTATTACCCACGGTTATTAACGGGTACCCATTTAACCATTTATTTTAATATATGTAAAACTAAAAGAAAAAAAAAAGTTTCTAACTAGGTTTAGTATCCTGAGATATATTTGGTTATAAAAGGCCATATAATATATATGCCTCACTTGAAAGAAAAATATAGTTGATGGAACGGGGTTAATGTTTAATATATGTGATTGAATTTGCTAAAGCACTAGAGTATTCAACAGTTTTGTTTCGGAGTCTTTTGGAGTTTTGACCAATTCAAGATAATGATTACGTTGAGTATTTAGAAACATGTTATTATCAGATGATGCATACTTATATATATTATCAGAGTTGTTAGAGATTGAATTGAAACGAGAGTCATGTATTATTCTGTTTATTTTCTTCACTAGTATCAAATAAGAGAAATGAACGTAAAGAGGGACAAAGGAGGAAAACATGATTATTACTTTCTGCTTTTCATATTTTTGTACTACCCATACGATACAAGCATACATATCTTTTAATGCATCTAAAAGGCTTACACACCAAAACAATAAAAACCAAACTTCTACTATTTAAGCAATATAATTTTGACTTCTATTCTTCCACTTTCCACCCTTAGCCATATGTGGTTGTTCTTTTTATGTGGGCATTCACACCAATTTCACAACAAAAATCATTACTTGAGTATTTATAGTCTCAACAACTACTAATGTTAGTGAGAAACAATTCAAGAATTAATTACAAAAAACAAAAGGGAACTTTAACGAAAAGCTCCTGGTACTGTTCACTTTAACGAAAAACAACATTTTTACATTAAAAAGTCAATCTTGGTACTATTCACTTTACCCTTATTTTGTCCTTATCGTTAAAACTCAAAGTTTTCAAGTCATTCTCATTAGTTTTCCTAAAACAAAAAGGCACAACTTTGTATTACTTGTAGGGCAAGTAACCACATTATTTTTGTTAAAATGGCATAAGGTACGGAGAAATATCATCACAGTAATTCCCAAGCCTATCTTTTCTCCTTATGCAACTGCAACCCCTCTCTCTCTCTCTCTTTCGTTCAGTTAAATTTGGGCCACAACACATTGTTAAACACGCTCCTAACACTGAGCTAAGGAAATTAATGCTTGTTTACTACAAAGCTGTTCACAATATTTATCAAGCAATCTAAGTAATCTATAAAACATGGTTTCAATTTCAATATTTTTCAACAATGATTGCATGAAACATTCACTATGAAGCATGAACTCTAATTTTACGTTTTTCTTTTTTCTTTTTCAAATTATAGATTCAGCTTAAATTTATTGTTCTTATAATTGCTGGTGAATTGAATATGCATGAATAAGAGAAGAAAAAAAATGGGATTTTTCAAACCCTACACGCATGGGAGTCGTAGCTTGAAGCCGCGTTGCCCGAGCCACCAAGTCGTTCCTGCTCCAAAACTCTAAGGCCCAAAACAAAGCCGTTATACATCACATTTCTTATGGACCTGGACTGCTTGTAGTTGACCCGCAACCCAATTGGGCATATGCACCAAACCGTCGCACTTGTTTTTTTATTTTATTTATGGCCTTGTTTTTTTTTTGGCTCGGATGAAATAAAAAGCCCATGGGTTATGCCTTGTTTTTCACTTATCCTTCTTAGCCCAATAATTAGGTATATAATCTATTAATGCATTTAGTTCTCCTTTGTTGTCTAGCAACCCAACAACCATTCTTTTGGGCCTACAAGCCACGACAGCCCCATATTTTGGGTCGTCACTCATTCTTTTCACACATAGGTCCCGAAACTATTCCCGTTCACTACATATGTATATTGTGTTTATTTGCAGGTGTCATGAACCTAGAGTTCGTACTTAAACTCGAACTTGAAGTTTTGAAAATAAGTGCTATAGAAATTCAAAGTTTCATAAAACAATACACCCATAAAACTCCGGAGTTCTTTTAGGTGATTTGTTAGGATTACATGTAGATGATGCTTTTAAAAACAACTGTAAAATTTAGTTTGTGCAAATTATTTTATTGTCCAAAATTTTATTTTCTGATAGAAGACAAAAATATTTTTTCACCCTCTTATAGTTAACAAAAAGAGTTTCATTAATATGTGGTTTAAATTAACTTTTTCCTTACAAATCTATTATGTGTAAATGAACTAACTTGAAACAGGTCCAATTTTATGGAAAGAGATCCTCTCCGGATCCCTTCCACTAAATCCACCCAATCAATCAATTCAGGCCTTAAAATTTGATCCAGTGGTTACAAACAGATGGCCCCTTTAAAAGTTATAATAACTTTAGCCGTTGGACTAAATTTCAAGAGTCCGAATAAGGTGATTGGGTGGATTTGATGGAAGAGATCCATAAAGGATCCCTTTCCCAATTTTATGGCCTAACAATTAGATTAGTCCAATTTTTAGTTATTTTTTAATTTAGGTTCATGAATAGGACTTCATGTGTCAGCACTTTTTATTGTTAGGTTGATACTTTGTATTGTGATTACTATTTTACTCTACTATAGCTATTCAATGGAAAAAGGAAAAAAAAAAAAGAAAAAAAAAATGATACGATCGGTACTTTGGTAGCTATTCTCCTTGAGAATAATCGCTCAAAATATAGCGACTGATTCCATTAAAAGTCGCTATCTTCATACCGATCCCTCCCTTTTCAATGTTTTTTTTCAGTTTTTTTATTTTTTATTTTGTTAATGTTTCTTTTATTTCTCTTATCATAACAACAAACTATCATATTCATGTTTTTCAAAATATATTTTTTCTGAGCAAAATATATTATAATTCATTTTTAAACACGTGTAATCAATGATTTAAAACCTAAATTTAAAGATATTTTTCTATTTTCTCACTTTAAGAATCAATAAAAAATAGTTTCAAAACCTAATAATCGGTAGGATCACGTCCAAAGGTTTTGCAATATTTTCCTTAACTCCAGCGCAAAATACTTCTTAAAGCTAAAAATTTCAATTTTTTTTTTTCACAAAAAACTATGTAATATAAGTCAAAGTTAGAGTCATTCTATTCGTACCACATATTTCCTAAAATTAATTTAGGGCATTTCCAAAATTTTGGACACCTATAAATCTTTTGGGGGGCCTCGCTATTAGTTATATTATTTTTCTATTTTTTTTTCAACTCAGGTATCCTATTAGTCGGCATAAACCCAGATTTCAGCTGATATTTTACAATCTAAACTATCTATCGTATAAGTACTTTTACAGTCTAAACTACATGTCATATAAGTACTTGTACAAGCTAAACTACCTATCATATTATAATATTAGTCAGCATAAACTTAGATTTCAACTGATCTTTTATAATCTAAACTACTTATTATATAAGTACTTTTACAGTCTGAACTACCTGCCATATAAGTACTTGTACAAGCTAAACTACCTATCGTATTGTAACTACCTATCATGGTGGAATAAGTAATTTTACATGATTCTAATAGTAAGACGTAGTCCTCCATCTTGGTAATGTTAAAATCCCCCAAGGCTAACACAATCAATGTCAAAAGCCTCTTGAGCAATTACTTACATAAGACAATCAATGTATAATGCTCGCTAATCATGTAACAAATACCAGCAAAAATGAAGCTTACTGTTGTAAATGACTCAACGAAAACATGCAAAATTACTTGCAGTTCTCATAGCTTCATGCGAATTCAAATTCAAATTTGGATACTAATTTGCAGGAATCACGAGGAAAATTCAAAACAGAAGTCGGATAGAGTTTTTAATGAAACGATGAGATTAGATGAGTAACTTTTTATTTTTTATTTTAATACAACGATATATTTTACATTAAAGAAGATGAGAGTTTTTTTATGAAATGATGAGATTTGATGTGTAACTTAAAGTTCCATGTTAATTATGGAAGAGTCATGATAAAACATTCAACGCAGTAGGTGCAATTTTGTTTTCAAACTATGGACACTTTAATTGCTCTACTTATTAGACCCTACCTATGACTGTGCAATACATTAGACCCATATCAATACATGCGGATCATGATCCTTTCCTGAGTAAAGGGTGAGGATTCTCCTGACCAAGCCCATCGGGACGTTAAAATTTTATCCAACGGTTACAAACAGGGGGCCCCTTTAAAAGTTATAATATTGTAGCCTTTAGATAAATTTCAACGGCCTAATAAGCTTGGTCAGGAGGATCCTCACTAAGGATGAGCAAATACCCATTGGTTATTGGTAACTGCCGTTATCCGCACATTTAAATTTGACAGTTACGGTTATGGGTAATCGTTTAGATAAATAAACAATTATGGGTATAACCATTTCCCGTGAAATTTAAATGGGCGGTTATGGGTATTACCCGCGGTTATAAACGGGTACTCATTTAACCGTTTATTTTAATATATGCAAAAGTAAAAAACAAAAAAAATTAGTTTCTAACTAGGTTTAATATCCTGTGATATATTTGGTTATAAAGGGTCATATAAAATATATATATATATATATATTTATGCCTCACTTGAAACAAAAATATAGTTGATCGAACGGGCTAATGTTTAATATATGTGAATGAATGTGCTAAAGCATTAAAGTGTTTAACAGTTTTGTTTTGGAGTCTTTTGAAGCTTTGAGCAATTTAAGATAATGATTATCTTGAGCATTTAGAAACATGTTATTATCAGATGATGCGTACCTACACACACACATATATATATTTAATTGGTTTCGAGTTTTCAATAAATATTTGTCCTCAAAATTAGAAATTGATTAAAAGGCTTGGATCGATGAACATATGCATACATCTTGTAAAAGATTGACCGTCAAATAATTGGGAGACATCGCATATATTCATAAATAATATTGCCGTTAATATAAAAATACATGTTAAATGTACTTATAAAGGTATTTAATAGTTAGAAAAAAGAAAATTATGACAAATTTCTTTTTAATTTTCAAGTTGTTCAAAAAATAGGTAGACGGGTAAAACTAAAAAAAAGTAAACAGGTACACAGTTATGGGTAAATGGGTATGCTGATATGAGTATGGTTAACCGTTTATAAACGGTTATGAGCATGGGTATACCCGTTTATGTAAATACCTAACGGGTAAACGGTTATGCGGGTAAAAGCTTAAACGGTTATGGGTAAATAACTTCGGTTACCCATCTGTTATAACCATTCCCCATCCCTAATCACAGGCTCAAACATCATATTCAAAACTTATAAAACAACATATAAACATCCTCGCCTTGAAGAGCAGGAATTTTGTTAGGTTTCATATCACAAAACTATCTTACAACGTCATTTCGAACAAATTAGCAAACGAGCAACAATGAATCAGATAACAATTGAAGCCAACAGTCGAGAGCCGAGTACCGGCTCACATTCAGAAACTCATGGATTAAAAAGCTCCACATATCAAACAAGTAGCAAGCAATTTACAGCATCAACTCTAAAATCGTGTGATTATCTATCTAACAGATACAACTTTGGGAAGGTTAAAGTTTATAAACTACCCGGAGCTCCATTTTTATCGTTTTATTCTAATGAATGTAATGCAATTTACTATGAAGTGGGTATCAATATAAATATGAAGAAAAAAAGAAGTGAAAATTTCATTTACAGACATAAGGTTCAAGGGCTCTCTTTCGCATACGGACTGGTCTCCTCTGCAACATTTGACCACACATTTGCTATCTTTTCGGCATATCCCACCTGTTAATTGTACAACACAACTATTCGTTACATGGAAGCGAAAGCGGAAATAAAGAATGTGCAACAAAAGAGAAAGCATTCAAAGACGGACTTGCATACGACACAAGAACAATGATGCCAAAAGAATTGACATTTAAGAGTGTCCCAACAGCAAATCCACTCTTGGCTAAGCCACCTACTAGATATACTAAGCCTCTCTCTCACAGATGCATTCAGGTCATTTACCCAAAGCATCCCTTAAGGCCTTAACAAACAAAACCATCCACTAACTCTCATTACTCATAACAAGAGGTAAACGAAATGGTGAAAAGCATGCACAAGCACATTCACAAGGAACAATTTCCAAATTCTGTTTAACATTTCTATCTACCGGGGCCTTTCAGATTATCCATCTCATAACACCGGAATGACATCAACGAAAGACAAAAGTAGCTTACATGCAGACTCTTATAGAGAGCTATAACTATCCTAGGTGAACAACAATGCAAGCAGTAAGTACCTGATTATGCACAAATCCCTTCAACATGTTCAAGAAGTCAGTGTGCCTCTCGTTGTCAAGTCTTTCAAGTTCACTCCTGTTATTTTCCTGCATTTCAACAAAATCAAATCATTCTAAGTTCTGGTGAGGGTACTGACAATTAAATAGAGATATTTCAACTATATAGGGAAAAACAGTATGCCTTTAGAATATTTCCAATATTATGTAAATGTCAAATATACATATAGATCCATTTGCATCTGCTGAAAGGGCATCAAAATTTCACCGGGATTAAAAAAATTGGATAGCCTTTATCACAAAGGGACAAAAACAACAGGTTTAAGAGATCAAATGGATGCAATAGTTTGTCATCTAAAACTGAAACACTGAAACAGACACATCAAAACCAAATGTAATTTATGCATATTCAAATTTCTTAGCAACAAAACATGCAATGGTGGTCTGTAACGGTACAAGATCATTTCAGGTACTGAATAACACAAAGTTTGTAAAGAAAAAGAAACTTGGTTTCCAGAAGCATATACTTCATCCTACACATGCAACAACAACAGCATCCAAGACCTACACTACTTAAAACCGTTCCTCATTGTGAAGAACAGGCTCGGTGGTGGTGGCTTACAAGATTAACTAGTACCCTCATACAGGTGCAAGGGTCTGGCTAGACCTCACATACATCACATCACATCACCAGACCAGAGTCATAAGCCAAAAGCAATGGCCGACAGCAACAAGAAATATGGCAATGTTGCCGCCAGGTATTGAGATACCATAATAATAAATACGAACATTACACTACCTAGTTTTTGATAACCCATGTAAACAACCAAGTATTAGTGATCAAAATAGCCATATGACATTGTCATCAAACACCAAGTGTCATGTACTTCAAAATGTTGTGAGCTTGTATGCTATATGGTTATGCGAATGCTATAAGGTTATCACTTATCAGATTACAAACCAGAGTGAGTAAATTCCTTGAAAGGAGTGAGATTAGACACAGTTTAGGGTCAATAATGCAAAGCACACGAAGGGGACAGCTACACATAACGTGGGAGAAGCACTGGAAACAAACATGAGGACCTACGATTTAACAAAAGAAATAACTCTGCATAAAGCTAAAACAGGGGCAAACACTAGAGCCTTTAACTAGCACATATGGGAAAGATTATCCTTGGCAGTAGTACATTAAAAACAATTTGAGGAGTATAATGGCACCTTGATCCGCTCATATTCTCTGATTGCTACATTTTTAGCATCCTCGGTGACTCTTATGGTTTCATTTAACTCTTCTAGCTTGCGAATCCTTGATTTGTCACCACCAAATATTTTATTGGATTGAACTTCAAGTTTTTCGGCTCGTGATTGCAGCGAACCCAATTCTGATAGAAGAGTCTGCACTGTCAACAGAGCACTTGACCTATCTGAGAATGCACCGTTGACAGCTAACATTAGCCCGAGATATTCATGAAATGTATCCTGCAACACACATGGTATGAACAGTCATTATTACAATTGATGGGTTTCCTTCTAAAGAAACAATGAAAAACAGCTGAAGAAAATGTACCACACACATAAACATTACTAACCAAACCAATTTTATAGTTCCAAATACAATGAAAAACAAAAGGGTTACAAAATTACCAAATGCTTGACGGTTTGAGCATTTAACTCCCGATAGAATCTGCTGGCTTTGACTGCAGCAGTTGCCACATTCTTCATGTCGGCAGCCCGCACTCTCTGAGAGCTGAACAATGGCCTCCTCGTTCTCAAATTTGGTCAGCTTAATAAACGCTAGTCCTAACTCTCCCAACGTCTCTCCCATGTCTTGTTGAGCTTTAACAAGTGATTCAGGCCTATAAATCAAAGCAATTGATCACTTTAAACTGAAATATACACACATAACACATAGATATGTTCACTTCAGTACACATTACCTGCTGAGATGCATTGCTGAGCTGTTGCTCCAGCTCGCTCATCTTCACTTTCTTTTCTAAAAACTCCTTATCCTCCTCCCCCACCAGCGGCCTCGAAGCTCCCCAATCATTAGCTACAGACTGCTTCAACTCCTTGAACAACCTCAACAAATCCCTGCCGCCTTTCGCAGGCTGAACCACCTCGTGAGGCGCCAGTACCGCCCCACTCTCCCCAAACAACTGCTTAGGAAGCTTCACCGCCCCATCAAGCATCCTAGACGCCATATCAGTGGTTAATGCCAGGGGAAGCTTCCCCTGCACCTGCAAAAACACCTTCAATTCATCGCTTCTCTTGATCACCGGGTGCGAAGCCAATCGCCTCAAGTACTTCTCCAACGCCACTCTTCTCTGCTCCACGAACTCCTGTTTCTGCATCACCTGACTCTCCACCACGCTCTTGTCCGGCCTTGGCGGTATAAAGAACCCTCTGTACGACTCCGCCAACCGGTCCGATAACGTCACCACGTCCCGAAACCGCCGCCGGACACCGAATTCCGATCCGCCGAAGTCCGGAATGTTCGTCCGAGTCTTGATCAGGTACGTGACGTATGTGTTAGCTCCCGGAACGATCGAATTCGCGCCTTCCTGCTCCTTCTGAGGATTCGAGACCGTGATTTTTAGGTACTCGGAAGAGGAAGACGGAGATCGCGAGAGAGAGTACGAGCTCGAGTTGTCGGAGCTCTTGCCGGGGCTCTCGATGCCGTTGATTTCGGCGGCGGTTGCGGCATCGAAGGGGCTGAAGGCCACGTCGGTGTACGAAGGCGTATCGAGGTACGTGGAGTTATCAGGGTCCGAGCTAGGGTTTCGCAGATCGAGATACGGTGAGGGCGCAAAAAGGGGATCGGCGTCGGCTGGCGTTGTTGCGGTGGTGGTGGCGGAGGCGGCGGCGGAGACGATCTGGGAGGAGGACGGCGACGACGAGAGGGGGTGTGTCGTATCGGAGAGCGACGACATGGCGCTGCGATAATTCGAGTACGATTTATTGCCATTCAATTGACCGTAGAGGACGAGATCCTCCATTTCTTCTTTGGGCGCGTGGAGGTGGGCTTCGTCAGAGCCCCGGTTCTCAGAGCCCATCATCTCGTTCCTTCACCGGAACAAAACCGATAGGAGAAGAAGAAAAGAGTTGGAGGAGGAAGTAATTAGTCTAAGAATTGAGGGGCATTTAGGGGTTTTTGGGGAGTTGCAGAAGTTGGAAGACTTGACTGGAATTTGGCAGAGGTGGCAGCGTGGGGAAGACGATCGAATGGGGAGGATGAGGGCGAGGGAGAGACACGTGGGCATGAAGGGTGTGCCTACCGCTGAGAAAGAACGATAAATCCGTGAGCCAAAAGGACGGCGGGTTTAGTTCGTTGGATTCGGGACCTTTTGAATGGGATTATGTTTTCGGGTTTGAAGTGTTGCGGAGTACTTGTTTTTACTTGAACTGGAATGTCGAATGACGACTTGCTTTGAATGGTTGGATTTAGTGGCATTGCTATAGTTGGTTTTTCTTCTTTTTTCGGGTTCACAGGATATTTCAGTTTTTTCGGTATTGTTATAATAGTTTTTTTATATCTTTTGAAATCAGAAAAACTTACAAAGATATTTTAGTTTTTTTTGCTACAATCGTGTGATTCACTAATGTCAGGAATTGAGCTCAAAACGTGCTTTATGAATACATGCCATGAAATTCATTTTCAATCACCGAGTCACATGTGTGTTTCATAACTATTAAATTGTTAATTAGTATGTGATAGTGCAAAAGAGAAATAGCATACCGAATGAAAGAAGATAATTTGTTTCATGTTAGACGGTTTACTTGGATAAATGAATTTTATTAGATGGTCTTATCCTTTTATAATCACTTTAAGATATATTGCAGTCGTATCGTTTAATAGAATTCATCAACATACGCACATGTAGCCCACCAAAATGACTACCACGAGTTCCCATTTGATCCACCGTGCATAACAATATAATAACAAAACTGCTACACTTATTATATTTTTTATACTATGTTTATATTATCGCTTTAATAAAACTTCAATGTGTTGAACAAATCATTGACAAATAATAATAATTTGCCTTTTCTAAAAAGAAAACTAATAAAAAAAACTTGAAAACTTTGAGTTTTAACGATAATACAAAATAAATGATAGTAAAATTAATTTTTTAATGTAAAAAATATGATTTTTCACTAAAATAAACTGTCCTTTTAAGTTTTTTTTGTTAAAATTCATTTTTTAAAATCCAAACATCCAAACGGAGTGTTGGAGAACCGGTACTCGGATTAGGTGACTCCACTAACTCCGCATCCAAACATTCTGATTAGGTTTTCGTTGTGCGTTTCCAAAGCTTCAGAGTAGCGCGCAGAGTATCCAAACTCTCTCTCTCTTCCAACCTACAACCTCACTCACTGACCCTAAAAATCCAGACCTCCAATGGCGTCCAAGTTCGGGTTGGCCGGAGGCATACCGGAGCGCCGGGTCCGACCCATTTGGGACGCAATCGATTCTCGCCAATTCAAGAACGCTCTCAAGCTCGTCACCGCCCTCCTGTCCAAGTACCCCAATTCGCCCTACTGCCTGGTAATTTCTCGCTCGCCCTTCTTATCTGACGTCGTTTTGCTCTTTACATTTTCGTAAATCCGCTTTCTTGGCGGCGTTTTCACTTCACAGGCGCTTAAAGCTCTCGTCCTGGAGAGGATGGGGAAATCCGACGAGGCAGTGTCGGTTTGCCTGAGCGCCAAGGAGCTTCTGCACTCGAACGACTCCGTTTTGATGGACGATCTCACTCTCAGCACCTTGCAAATCGTCTTCCAACGGCTCGATCACTGTCAGTATATATATTTTCCGTTTCTTAACCGTCTTGTAGCAAACCCAGAATGCACACATTGCCGAATTTCTTGTCTTTTTGTTTGTACAACCAGTGGAAATGGCGACCAGCTGTTACGAATATGCTTGCGGGAAGTTTTCCAACAATTTGGAGCTCATGATGGGCCTCTTCAACTGCTATGTTCGTGAGTACTCATTCGTAAAGCAGCAACAGGTGTCTTTTTCTCTTCTTTCGTATGTTATCTTCGTCATTGTATCTTTTGTTTTCGTATAATTTATTGTTGTGTATGTTTTTATCAGACAGCTATAAAAATGTACAAGCTTGTTGGGGAGGAGAGGTTTTTGTTATGGGCAGTGTGTAGCATCCAGTTACAGGTAACACCGGCTTTCTTGTGTCCTTCTTTTGTATTGATCAAAAGACACTCTCTTTCTACTGGAGTTATCATTTTATGTTTACAAGGTCGATTCTTGTTGACCGAATGGAAAAACATGAAACAATGGGAAATATGTACACTTGCTTATATTATGGGTTTTGAACTTCTGCTAGGTTTTTTGCGGCAATGGGAGTGAGAAGCTTTTATCACTAGCTGAAGGTTTGGTTAAGAAGCATGTTGCCTCCCACAGCTTGCATGAACCTGAAGGTGTGCATTGTTTTATTCACTATTTATGGTGGTCCAGGTCTATCTCGAATCGTAATTTTGTATTGGTGGACACTTCTAATTCCTGCACTAAAATCTTGTACTTGGCTTCAGCTCTTATGGTCTATGTTTCCATATTGGAACAACAAGCCAAATATGGGGATGCTTTGGAAATTCTCTCTGGAAAATTAGGATCGCTTTTGATGGTTGAAGTTGACAAGCTACGCATACAGGTACTTTCTAAAGCTTTTGTTTCTTGGGGCCTGCCATTAATAATCTACTGCTCGGATTTGAATCTAAATGCCTGTGTTATGCACACTCAGATGTTTCCACATGTCCTTGTCAGTTAATTTCTTTTCTTTTATAGAGGAAGAGTTTTAACTAGAAAGGAAATTAAAAAGGGTAAAAGGACTCAATTTGTAAATGATTAGAAAAACGCACTGAGAATTCCGAGGTGAGATCGAATATCAAAATAGTAGAAAAGATGAAAAGGTGCTCCTGTTTGCCAACTGATGTCTATTATTGAATTCAATTCATCCAGTATACACCTATACTTTTTATTTCTAAATAAAATAGACTTATAGTGGATGAATCTTGACACAAAACATGTTCTGTGCAAACACAAAAATATATCAAACTCAATTTGAATATGAATTTGTTCTGGAAGTTGTCCACAAGCATGCTAGTGGTTTGTTGCAATGGTATCAATCATCTTATTCTGCTTAGAGTTTTTTGCTATTTTTCAGTACTGAGATTCGCAATTCATCAGCTTATTGTTCGTTAATGTTGAAGCTTCTATGGAAAACGCATTTTGTTTCCCTTTGTTCTTTGTTTCTTTTCAAGGAAGACAGACAGATAACATTGCTGTGAAATAATATATAATGCTTGTGAAAATTGGACTGCTAAACAAGTTTTGCTTTCCATAAGACTTAGTTTAATAAGGTGACTTATGAATAGATGAATAAATTAGTTTTTTTTCTTTCTAAAGAAATAACTCATTTGCATACAAATGAAAGCCTCGATATAGGATATACGACTGCATATAACTATTTTACTTTGTTTGAGTCCCTTTTTTTGGGTCAAAGCTTTTAAATCTTGTAGTTACTAGCTTGAATGGTTCTTTGCCACTTGTTTGCTTTCCTTATCAACTTGTCCACTTTAACTTTAAGTTGACAGGGGAGGCTTCATGCTAGGGCAGGTGACTACACTGCTGCTGCCAGCGTATTTCAAAGAATCCTAGAATTATGGTATGCTTGTGAAATCTTGTTGTCATTATAAAAATAGTCTTCCGGTATTAGCATGCAAGGCAGAACTGTGAGAAATATGAACAAGACTAGTTTGTTCTTGACTGCCTTTAATCATATGGTCTATACGGTTCATATTGATGTTGTCTTTATTTAAAGTAATTGAGGGGGTTTTGATGCCCTTCTTTCAAATTAGTGATGCTAAATTACTCTTAGCAGCATACAAGACATGCTAGGGAGTACCCTTCCCTTTTATTCGTTCTTCAGATTTCTATGCCTTCTGGATCAGTACCTTGTCCATATATATTCTTTTAAGAAAACCTTTTCCATATATATTTCACAGTAGTATTGCTGATATTTGGCACAATATCAGCATAGTTAACTTTTTGTAATAAGTTATTTTAGTATTGATTGCCTTTTTTTTTCAGGGCCTTGATGTGCCTTTCTGTTTTTCGGATCACTATATTTTCATTACAGAGATTTTGACTCTTAGTGTTGTTTCTTTCATCTGGCAGTCCTGATGATTGGGATTGTTTCCTACATTACCTCGGTTGTTTGCTGGAGGATGACAGCAATTGGTGCAATATGGCCATCACAGATCCAATTCATCCTCCAAAATTCATTGAGTGCAAGATTTCAACCTTGGGAGATGAAGTGGTACAAACTTATGTTTTTTTCTTTTCTTGCAATTAGAGAGTTGAGTGGTTCATGTTTGTCCATAGTTAAGTTGACTTTCTATTTCTGTGTTATATTTTTTCTGTTATGCATATTTCTAACAGTTTGATTCTTACTTATTGGATTGCAGTTTGATTCTCGCATGTCAAGTGCATCAGATTTTGTAAATAAGTTACTAGAAAATATCGGTGATAATTTTTTAAGGTCTCCATACTTGGCAAATATTGAAATTGAAAGGAGGAGGCACTTACATGGCAAAGGGGACGATGACAAGTTAATGGAGTCTCTAATCCAATACTTTCTTAGGTATATTACGAATATCCCATCTTCTATACAGTTTCCACTCTTGAGTTGGCTATTTATATATTCCTTATCTTGTTCATTGTGGCGGTTAGAAGGATGGGGTTTATTAACTTTGGAAAAATTATTAACTTCAGTGACCTAGCAGAATTATAAAGCTACAGTCATTTTGTTTTCAAATGTAGGCTCGCTGATAATGATGTGTACCTTTGCATATTGTAACCAAATTTATAAAACTACAGTTTCAAATTGGTCATTTGATTTACTTTCAACCACAGGTTTGGTCACTTGGCCTGCTTCACTTCTGATGTCGAGATGTTTCTTGAAGTTTTAACCCCTGATAAGAAGGCAGAACTGCTGGGGAAGTTAAAGGAAAGCTCTGACTCCATTTCAGCTGTTCCAACAAAAGTTCTTGGGCGGTCAATAACATTCTTTAAAATTCAAGAATTGATCGGAAACACATTCAAGCTACCTGTGGGTGGTGCGACTCTTAATCTTGTCTCTGTTGAATTTCTTCAACTTCATTATATGACATGCCTAGAGAATACCTTTCACAAGTCATATCGGAAATGGTGGTATTATTTCTTTAGTTTGATGTTCCTTGAGATTGGTTATGGGCCTTAGACCAGGTTTTGGGATGATTTATGATGTGGGGTGTCTCTGTTGAGGGTTCTTTTCCCAAACTTTTTCCAGATTGCAAATAACATGGATGTAGGGCTTGCATATTATTTGACCTAGGCTGTTTGTCACATACAGTGGTCTTATTTTTGTG